AACATCAATGGACTTCCAAAAGGGTCTCACTGTGGTATAACATCAATGGGCTTCCAAAAGGGTCTCACTATGGTATTATTCTTGACATATGAATTTCAAAAGTTGATCAACTTTCAAACAAATCACGTAAGACACTGACACAGTTCATGCTCAGTTACTGAGAAAGAACAAAGTAAAGCTGAATTGAGCAGGATTTGAATCTCAACTTTGGGGTTAATGCACTGGTGCCCTATCCATTGAGCTATCTAGCGTGTCCCTCATCTGTCAATTTCTGCTTGGTTGCTAAGCAAAACGTTAAAGTGGTTAAAGAGTTTTACAGGTGACTCACCATTGCAGGATCAGCAGTCTTGTACAATGTCTGCATTAAGGCCAGTTAAGGATGACATTACCCCATGATCACTCACACAGCAAGAGTACTCAGTGAGAGAAAAACCCTCAAACCATTATCAGTGATTCAACCACTACATTAAGAATCAATGCCGTACACAGCAATCCACAACATAAGAAACAAATTCTGTACTGAGAGAATTGTTCAGAAATGTCACTGCAGATACTTGCAATATCATTATAAGGATACAACTGATGTCACACCAGGTAGGCCTAGCCATACACCTGGCTGCAGGGTCAAGCTGTTGACTCTCTTAGCTGCCTGTAATACACAATCAGACATCAGAAACCAGACAGTTAGTAATCTGCTCTGAAGTGACTTTACTAATTTAAGCATCAATGACAAATCTGGTACAAGCTTTCTAAAATCCCTAACAAGACTTAAATAAGTTATGCATCCTTTCCAGGGTGATTCTGCCTACCACATCCAACTGGGAATCAATGGGAAGATTTCATTTACCAAGATTGAGGTTGGAACTGTCCCCAAAGCTAGGGTTGCTAGATTGTGCCTGCAGAGAAGAAACCAAGACAACACAAACACTGTTGCAACTTTTCCGCCACTTCAGGTTTTACAATTACAAGAACTGTTTTAGCCACGCTCCAGATTTGCTGCATCTCACATCCCCACAACAACTGTTGACTCAACATCACCCCTCAATACTGATGGGAACATTTTTATTGCCTCCAAGAGTCACCGAAAGTTACTCAGGCAACATTTCAAGTTCTGACATACTCTCATAGCACCTTCAAAGACCTAGGCAGGATGGTCTGTGCTTTGCCCTAACTTCTGTCTATCCTTACAGGGCAAGAACACCTGCTCTCATGACAAATGGGTCGACACTTGTCAAACATCTGCAAAAAGAACTAAGATAATTGAATGCTCCCTACCAAACCAACCAGCCAACACTAACCCTTCCACATGCAGCCACACCCCGTACTCATCACAGATGGTTCTGAGGCGGTTAAGGTTGTCTGTGTGCCCCGCTAGGGGGGTGCCGGCATTGGCAACCACCATGAGGGGGACCTTGGATGAACCCTCGTCATCTTTGATCAGTCGTTCCAAGGTGGCTATATCCTGGATGGTGGTACAGAACTAACAAGCTCAACAAAACTGTTGAGAATGTAGACACTCCTATTTACTTCCAACTATTACAGCCTTAACCTTTGAACGTCTGACCTTCGGGCAAACACAGGGTGCTCATGTTAAGTACCTCTGTGGCCAGTACAGGGTTGTGACTGGCCACATGCACATGTACGCTAGTGTGTTGCCACCTTAATGGCATCTCCTTGAACCGGTCAATACTTATGGGGAAACCACGGTATAACACTCACCATCGTATGCTGTGACCCAAAGACGGTATTGCACGGAACAGTGCATAAACTCGACAGTGGAAGCCCCAACTGATAAAGAAGAGAACAAAAATGGAGTACATGTAAATCACTAGAGAGCAATTTTCGAATGAAAACACCCGAAAAACTGTAGTGATTTCTCTCAACTTCTTAACCCAACACAATGAAATAGAAAAAAAGGGGAAGAGAAAGGGAAGACGAGAGATATGAAAAGGAGCTGCTGGATGCAACTCAATCTAACCAATCAGTACAACCTTTGCACGCTATTGTGTCGGGTACAGTTTGGGTTGACAACATAAAAACAGAAGTGACCTAAATGCCAAAGTCACTTTCATTACCTGAGTACATATGTACTGCCCCAGGCCTGGCCTGGCCGATGCGCTGATGTAGATGATAGGAGGCTTGGTGTACAGTGCGTTGAACCCATCTGTGCCATACTTGTCATACTTACTGCTGAGGGCCAACCGACAGACTCGTAACAGCCCATCCCGACTATCAGAGTGGAAAAATGCTGAGGAATCGTCAAACCTTAAGCCAAAAGATCATCAGACAGTTGAGGATGCGGCAAAAAAAATCTATTCATCATTTTACGTCAAGAGTGGGCTTAACTGACTTTGAATGTGCTATGGACTCCATGCAGAAAAAGTAGATTGTATTGTGCGCCTTCCTCATTACAGCCAAAGGAAGACACTGTATGTATTGGTTCTATCATACTAATGGCCCATAGTATGCATGATCACTCTTCAAATACATGTGCGTGATATAGGTGACATAGAGACACTTAGTACATGGATAAATGCAGAGAGTGTAAACCTGTGCAGAGGACCTGCTGCTTGAGGGCTTGTGGGAGTCATTAAACAGCAACATTTTGCCTGTCACGGCACAGTTACCCCACACAACATAATCTATCCTAACTGCCAACGGAACTCACCGGAATATCCTGGACAGCCACAGCGTCGTGTCGGAGATGATGCGGGTCGTCAGTTTCCGGAGGTGGGCAGGGTCCATAGTATTACAGTAGGCGGAAATACTCTGGCCCAGCATCGCCACTTGGGCTGCTTTGTCTAAAAAGGGAGTTGGTGTCCTAAGAAAAAAGCCCCCCAAAATTACATAACTGACTACAAATCGTTAAATTTTATCCAAAGCATTTCTACACCACATACGAGCTTGAATTATTAGATCCAAGCAGGGTCTATCAATGAGGCTAAAGCTTCACTCTACAGATTTTTTCACAAGATACAGTGATTGTAACAAAGCAAAACATGCAACAGCATTCGAATGCTTCTCACTCACAAAGCAAACTTGCTGTCCAGATCTGACTGAGCAATGATGGTCTCCAACTTGCGAACAATTTCATCAATCTTCTGTCCACTGTCAGTGGAAAAAAAAAGAAACAGGATTAATGCAAGGTGTCAGTGAAAATCCCGGGACTCGCATTTGAAAACCTTACTTCGTGGGTATTTTTGCCAGTAAACTGTTACAATTCCTAGAATAGCATAGATACATTTGCAGCTGAGCAATAAACAATATTCTGGCAACCTGAAGTTAAAATATAAGCAAAAGTACTTCAAAAGTAAGTGTAGGATGTTAGAGGGTTCAGGGAAAATCTGGTTCGAAAAATGAAAAGGTGAATCAGAAACGGCAGACATTTCCAAATGAAACTAAGGAAATGAATATATCATCTTTGCATTACATATCTTCAAGCAACAAGAAGTTCTGGTAAATTGGGTTGCTTGCATACTTGTAAACTATGAAGGAAGCATTCAATTTCATCTCGTCCAAGTTCTCTTCGTCAAGCTTTAGGTGCAAGTCTTGTCTAAAGTGGCCCCAATCAGACTAGTATTGTCCTAAGGAAGCAGTTTTTTGTGACGTGACATCGACAATATGATGGTAAACTTCACCACAAGAACATGTGAATTCACAAAATGGGCATAGAGTACCAAAGTGAATACGTCACGTGCACAATAAGTGTGTAAAAGGAATTAGCGCAAGAACCAGCGCGTGAACCAACATGCCCGCATACTCCATTCGTTTGCATTGCACTTTCTGGTTCACAGTAACATCACACTTCAGTACTCTATTGCCATGTCATGCAGTGGATACTGTGCATATGATGGAGTGACACCATGAAAGCCCAATCTACCTTGGACATGTGCCACAAAGTTACATGTGCACCAACGTACATAAATTTGAAGAGTGTGAATGGAAACAGAATGGCATGCAATGACAAAAATCACCTGCACATTTTATTTATAGCAACATTGAAATATCAAAACATCACATCATGGTTTCAGCCATCAATTCAATTCAATTGATTTCTAAAGTATCACTAGTCAAATTACAAATAGCAAACGGAACAAGAACTACACTCCTGTACAAGCTAAGCAGCCAGAAATTCAGTCCCTCTGGTGGAGTTTCCATGCCACAGAAACTACAAAAGTAAGCCTTAAACTACAGTACCTACAACTCAGCCAACCACACAGCAAGCCCCAACAACACCAAGGCTCCTTTTCCAAGTGCCTACACTGCTGAATTTGACTGTACAAGGCATGTCCAAACCAGTTGCATGCATACTTTTTACATACTCAAATCTACTTTCATTGACTTCTAGGGCATACTCAAGAAAGATTTTGAGTGTTTAACAAAAGGTTCTTCCAAAACACAAATTGAGGGCTACATTACTTCAAAGGCATTGACAAAGTTCTCCATAGTGTGTTTGAAGCTATATATAGGTAAAATCCCACCACCTTGATAAGACCTAACTTTCACCAAACTGTGAAAATGAAAGCAAATTTCAAGAAATCAAACAGAAATGCTTCTCATCCCAAACATATTTTTTGGGTGGTTAGGGTCTCTGGCTTCCAATCATACGGTTGGAGGTTCGAATCCAGCTGCTGGCAATATGTTGTGGCCCTTGGCAAGCCACTTCACCACTGCTTGCTTCTCTCCACCCAGGAGTATAAATGGTACCAGCATTAGCTGGGGAGGCAACCTGCAATGGACTGGCGTCCCATCCAGGGAAACAGAAATATTCTCAGTCGTTTCATGCCAAGGAAACCGGAAGTAAACACCAGCCCGATGAGCCAAATTGGCTCAGACCAGACTTGCTTTTTATATTTAAGCCTAAGATTTACATGTATATTTTTTGTTATTTGTACAAGTGCACTGCGAGGACCTTTTTGATTTCCAATAAGGAAAAAGTTTGCTGAAAAGGCCAGAATGCACACTTGTGCAGTGCTGTACTTCACAGTAAACTTGTAATAGGACTTCCATATGAAACACACATAATACATGAGGCAATGAGAAACATTTAACTTGATTTTAAAATGAAAATCCCTAAACGTAGAAGAGAAAGTTTGATGAAAGTCAAACCTGTCTGCCATTGGTTCAGAAATGTTCCTGCTAAACTCAGGAGCCTTAAATAATGCCACTTTCCTCTCTGTATCTTTGTCCAGCTTCCTGCAATTTGGGGGTGGGGTGGCATTACCACCAAGATACATGAATTCAATTGTACCACCTTTCCTTGAGGGATTAATCAACTGAGAGAAGTACACAGCTGTCTTTCACTCAAAATCACTTGTGCATCCACAATGATTTGTAATGAAATGCTAATCTGAGATATAAACAGAATCATATTAAAAAGCTTAATGGAAATCCTGTGAACCTGCAAACAGCAATTATAAAAACTTCTACATTCACGAAGTGCAACTTTTGCAGGGGGTACCCTTCAAAACGTGTCTACATGTAGCAACATTGATCAGTCCGAGTTCTTTGTGTGTCATTCTTAGAAGCTAGGTAAAGCGTGAAAAGGTTGATGGGTTTACCACAAATGGACTGAGTACAAATTGGTAGAGATTTACAGATCTGCCTTAAAGCCATTGATAAAAATTAAACCATCGCCATTACGCTGTTGACCTGTGCTCCACAACGGAAGAGTCAAATCATTCAAAGCTTCAAAATCTCGATGCATGTATTGTTGACACTATTCTCTATGAAACTAATCTGCATAAGTTGGCACACTGCACAGCAACGACATAAAACAGCAAGGACCAACACTGATTCCACCTACCTGCTGTGGGCTTCCATCTGTTGCATGACTTCAGCCAAGCCTTCTGCCATCCCCCTCAGTGACGGCTCAATAAACATCTGTGGATGCACACATAGCACAATGTATAAATTTCCTGTTATTGATTGGGGGGGTTGGACTTGTCCTTTTCTGTTGGCTGGCACCATGTGGCTTTTTGCACACGTATGCATAGTGAATGCCAGAAAGCAGGTATGGCTGTAGTACGTTCAAAATATATGCTTATTAATAACATGAACATATCTGTTCTCAAGGGCGGATCCAGAACCATCTTTCCAGGCAAAGGGAGGCCCAAAAATGTGGGAATTTCTTTATGCTACCATTTACAGCATTTCTGAGGGATGAGGCTAAATCTTGCGGGCTTTATACTTACTTTGGGAAGGACGGGAAATAAAATCCCTTTCTAGTCAAGCCACCAGACAAGTGAATGGTAAATCGTTTCAAAGATGGATATGTGGCAGTAAGGCGCTAGGCTTCAGCTTTTCGTTACTCCCAATGGCAAGAAAAGGCTACTGTAAATAACGAAGCAGGTGAGCTCAATATTGACTGGGGATAGACTGTGCTTCTGGTATTTACCTCGTGACAATTTTGGATTACTTTTAAGCTGATTTTGTTTGCATGTCTTCTGCCTATAATTGTCCCCTTTGCCATCAAATGCTGATCTGTAGATGTGAACAATCATCCAAGCAGTAGACATATGTGTAAATTTGTATCATGCACGCAATCATGATCATCAAAGCTTAATGTTTCATGTGCCGTAATGTAACTTCTTTGTCACATGTATGGGGACATCACACTAAAATGCTTCAATCTGTATTAGTGAAACCCAGCACCCCCTCCATACACGTCATACAAGGATTAAAGCCCACTAACTACGGTAAGAGACGTTGTACAAAGTTTGAGAAGTTGAAATCGTTCTTCTTTTATCCCTAACTACTCGGCGCAGCACTGAACATGTGCAATGGGTGTTTTGGGGGACTTAGAATTTTCGCCGTGACAAACCTTCATTAGATTCCATGTCACTGTCATTCTGAATTTCTGTAAATTTTATGAGATGCAAGTCAAACCTCTTGCATGTTCAGACTTTGTTCCCTTCAAGAAAAAATCCCCCAGAGCCACAAATCATAAAAAGAAAGTGAAGCATTGTGCAATTAAATGTAAGATTCAATACTGGTACCTGTAAAATATGACAAGGATAATATTGCTAGTACCTGAGACAGTCCTTGCATGAACATGTAATAGACCCTGCTACTGAATAACATGCGTCTTCAACTGACAAAGTTGGAAAGACTTACACACCTTCTAACAACTGCCTACCCCAAATGATTTCTCAACCATTCAGTTGTGTAAAATGAGGACTTTCCAAGGCTGCAAACATGCAAGGGTACATGTCATTTTTGACTGAGGCATTTAAATAATGCTTTGGAAGAAGTCACAAATTTGAAACAGGAATGTCATTGATGTAGAGGTGTCCTAAAAGTAAGACGCTTTGCAAGACGACGAGTTCACCCTATTCCATCATAGTTCCATCACTCCATGGAGTATGGGCTACTTCCAGAACTGTAAGGCTTCTATAAACCTGTATAAACCTTACAGTTCTGGAAGCAAGAGTATGGGCAAAATGCATGTAAGCTTAGGGCCCAAGCCCGAGGTCAAACTTTAACCCCTTCGCACCGGGAGGCGGCTGTAGCCGCTGTAAAAATTGAGATCCTCAGCCCGCTTTTCAGCTATTATTCTCGGCCCACGCTCGAGCGAACACGGTGAAAGAAGGCAGACCCTGGCTCTTGTATATATGGTAATTGGTCTTTGTGCTTAGCCCAGAAATGAAAAGACCGATTTTGCATCATAATTACCAGCTTCACAATAGTCCCCACTTTGAAAAGAGGCAACGGGAATGTGGAAGGGTGAGTAGAGCCGCACGCCACCGAACAATCAGCCTTTTCACCGTGTAATTCAAAGCGTGCAGAGCACGCAGGGCCACAAACCGAGAATTTGCGGTTTGGCAGGTGGCCTTCGTGGCCAAGTGAGGCTGGAATTCTTGGAGTCGGCTTTCAGAAAGAAATTCCCGCCATCAAGGGGTTAATAAGGACCAAGACAGTTACACTTCACTTCACTTTATTTTTCACATAAGGGTGGAGGGGAGTCCCCCCAAAAGCAGTGCTTGTCGAGTAGGCATGGTAAGGACCCCCACTTACATGTACACCCAAACACATACAGACATTACATTGATTGGCATACATATACATACTATCATAAGACAACCTGTAACCCTGTGAGAACTACTCAGTTTCCATGTACAGTACATGTAAATTGTTCAGTAGGCCTAAACACATCTTGTTACTTGTATTTATATTTTTAAACAATAAAGGATTGGTTATTTTTTGAAAAAATTGATCTAAAAGTGATCTTGAGTGTAGTCCTTGAAATATGTATACAAACGTATACGATGCCTCATCGACTTTCTCACTCCAACCCCCCTGCTCCGACCTCCCCCTCCCCCATGTCCCTTACCGGGCATGCCGGACCCAGCTTCCGTTTCCACACAGTGCAGCACTGTGCGTTACACCATTACACGGAGATCTTTGATGTTTGAGTTCTACGTGTCCTGAACATTAAGTCTGGCAAAGGAAATCCTGCCAATGCATCACAAATTACTAAAATGAACTTATACCTTCTGCACGTTGCTTTCTGCGCTTGCCGATCTTTTTGTCGAATGTTTGGCTGGCGGAATGTGATTCGGAATCGAAGTTGGCGAAGGTATGACTTCGTCACCCACACTTACCCTGGCTGCCATGTTGGATTATTCCACGCTGGCACATGAGCAATGAACTCCCTAGCTGGCTAGGAAATTTAAAACACTCAACTGAGAAAAAAAGGGGCGTGGACAGCTCAGCCGGAGAGGGAAAGTGCCATGCATATCAATGTACTGGGTTGACAATTTTTTGAAGTTGTTGTTAATTCTATTGTTCTCATGCTTATTGTAAACTGTGACCCAGGAGGAAGGCAAAACAAAACAAAAATTCAACAAAAGTTAAAGGAAACAAAACAAGAGAATTCCTATTGCCGTCAACAATTGTCTGTATGATCTTACCATGATGGAGGTAGGATGGTGGAGGCAGCTGAAACAGTGGGCATACCCGCGAGGAACGCCATTGGAAATGTTGAAAATAAAAATGAGAAAAGAAACAGTATCATAAAGAAAATTAATTGGGCTTCCCCCTCCCCCGTAGCATCCAGTCTGACTCATTCCCCTCCACCAGTGAGAACGCAGCCTCCCCTGCTGAGGGGAAAATGTACCAAAAAACGGACAAAAAATTTACAAATGTGGATAGCCAAACTTTGTACTACCTGAACAGGTTAAAAATCATAAAATTTTACGCTAAAGAGGAGTCAAACACATCAGAGGAATACAAACTTTCAATCAACCGAGGGGAACTGTTTTCTTGCCCGATTTTCTTTGCCATCGTCCTGAACTCACTTTACTATACAAAACAACTACGTGACTAGGTAATGCGCAATTTTATTATTGAACAATCTATATGCGAGCAATTC